ATCACATTGCAGAATGAAGTTTTTGGTAATACATATTACATGTGTCCTTGTTTAACTGAAAACAGATGACATTGTCTCCTCATGTCTGACAGTTTGGCAAGGTTACTGGAACAATGGTCATGCACTACTGACAGTGATCACGTTTTGATGAGGATTAATTCTGGAAGAAGATGTGAGAGGAGAAGTTTCCTGGGTGATCCTGGGAGGTACCTCTGCATGATGAACCGCAGCTACTGCTGTCCTGCGGGACAGTGGTGCTAGGGCTATGCCCGACGGCTTCCAGGTGCAGGTGGTGGCTGCCAGTGTGTAAGGGTTGCTTAACTGCTTCAGAAGAAGCAATGAGATAGCCACAGGTTTTTTTTCTAATGTCATCTAATGATGACTCTAAAAAAAACCCCATGCAACCTGCGGGATTCAGGAAAGTCAGAGTAAAGAGAGTGTATTTTCACCTCACAGTGGAGCCAAGCTGAGCACACAAGGCTACCAAAGCACCCAGCCATGCTCCCCACAATGTCATGCCCACCCCACCTCTCCTGCACTGGGCCATGGACGCACACAGTGAGCCAGTCCAGTGAGCTGCCTTGGCAGAAAATTTCCATGAAAGTGAAAAAGAACAGTTTTCCCATGGATCAATATGATGACCCAACTTCTCCTGTCATATGACCTAGCACTGGCATAGGATTTGGGAGGGAGAGGCATGGTATGGGACCACCTCTTCTGGTGGGGGCTTGCTCTTGTATCACCACTTAACTGGAATGAGAAATCGTCCTCTTGACCTGCTGCTCATTGCAATGCCTCTAGCAGCAACGTCAGCATGAAATGCTCTCGGCTTTCATCTCCTCCCTCAATGATAAGGGAGATGCATCAGTTTCTGGCCTCACTCTGCCAAGAGGATCAGTAAAATGGGTTGGGGTGTTCCTGGGAGCCACAGCGTGGGTGTGGGAATGACACCAGTGGCTGAAAGGAGTGTTTTGCTCTTCTAAAAATACTTCATGTACTTTGCAATGTGCAGCTTATTATTGCAATATAGATTGTAACGTATATTGTAGCAAGATGTTACAATAGTGTGAGAAGTGATTACACTTTGCATTTTGGTTTTCATCTGTACTGAAATAGGGAGAACTTTCCTTGGTCAAAAAAACAAAATCTTTGCTTGCTCCTGTATTGTATCAGCTGTGTTCCCATCATTCTGCAGTGGCGGGGATTGATGCAGATTTGGTGCTGCAGTGTTGTATGACAGCCTGACTTAGACGTGTAAGCATGTTAGTGGAGTTTAAACACCTTGAGTTAGGAACATTAACAAGTCAGCCGTATCACTGTGCAGGTATGCTACCACCACCCCCCAAGCTATCTGTAAAACATAAGTCATAATAGTTGATATAAATGTGCGATATCAGAACACTGGCTTGAATTACTCATGTAGAGTATTTGGGAAAAAGTGGTTAACTTAATCTAACTGCCTGTTGCTGGTGAGTGATATCTATCACCAGGACAAAGGGGCAATTGCATTTATTTCTTTGAGACCCTTAAGGAAAACAATAGGCAAATGGAGAGGGAAGGTGAACATGAGCAGCACTGCATACGGGGCAGACATCCTCTTCTGCCAGCCTGTGTACGTGAACCCCGTCTCTCGGGGGGCAATCATGCCGGAGGGTGACCCCATCTCCTTTCATGTGGGCCTTCTGTTGTCAGCCTGGGTGATGGGGGCCTGGCAGTTCCGTCCCCTCTGCTCCTGAGGGCCAAGGCCCAGGGCAGGTCTCCTCACATGTCCTAATTGCTGACTCTGACACCATGTCCATGGGGAGATGCGTTTGTCATGTAACAGCTCCAGCTGGACAGGGGCTTCTCGTTTGCATTTAAAACCGTTGCTTACGAATGACTGGCTTTTATCCACCATGCGCTGGTAGCTTCAAAGGCAGATTTCTGGGGCGTGCAGCCGTGCTCCTGATGGTGTCTGTGAATTTTCAGAGCTGCAAAGGCCTCAGGAACATCGCAAGGAGAAATTACCTAACCTGGGAACCTACATGTTGATTTTACAATTGTGACGGAAATAACACATTTTAAAAGAATCGCACAGCTTAAAACCAGCTGCATGTCAGACCATGATAGGCATCGCAATGGGTAGCAGAAGGAGGGAATAACAAATTTAACTTTGCATGGGATTATGTTTGCATAATTGGCATCAGCTGTGCTCACGGGCTGGTTATTAATTAGCACTCCCACATAAATATTCATCCCAAGTCGAGGCAGCCTGCTAGAACTAAAGTGGGAGTATCCACGGCACGGCACAGGGCATCCTCTCAGGTGGTTGGATGCTGCGCTTCTAGGCGCTGACGCCCTTTGCCAAGCGCTGCTGGTGTCTGAAGCCATCAGACACACGGGTGGGGAGGAGGAGTCCCACCGGTCCCGCACCCACCGCAGAATGAGGCCGGCCTGCGCGACAGCCTGGTGGGGTGCGCGCCTGGGGACCCGTGCCTCTTCCAGTGAGTTGCAAGTTGTTTCTTGTCTTTACGTTTTCTTAATGTTACTGATGCTAGGAAGAAATGTGCTAAATAATATTTTTTAGTGAAATGCTTCCTTCAATTTGTACTATTTTTACAACATTGCTCTTTAATAATGGGCTGCAAGCATCAAACTGTTATGTATATTTCATGAATGTGAATTTAATCATATGAGGGGAAATGTGAATACTGATGTTTCCTTTGTTGCTTATGAAGATTATCTTTAGTTTTTTTTCTGGAAATCAAACTGTTAGTGAAATACTGTGAAACATTTTGTGTTTTCTCCAGTTTCTTTGTTCCTCCGAATTTGAGGTGTTGTCTATATTGTAACATGTCTTTGTTTTCATATAAATTGGGATCAACTACCCAATATTCTGCTTATTTTAAACAAATCATCAGTTGATGATGTGTTACCTTTTCATCTATACATCCATTTAGATTTCTACCTAGTTAGGTGTTTAGCAGAAGGACCTCAGGGGGCACCTCTTTGTTTCATTCAAAGTTAGTAGACCATTGCCTTAGTGGAAGTTATTGAAAGCACCTTTAATAAAATGGCACCCAAAGTACATTTAATTTGCTCTATCTTACCAAAAGAATCTAAATTTTGCATAACCTTGAAACACAGTTTCCGTGCAAGTATTTATGAGTTGTCCTACGTTGTCTTTTGTCAAAGGCTGGCTCTTCCCCCAGGGACGATGTGGGATCTCTCTGGCCTTGTAGCTCAGTTCTTTCTTCCCGTGGCTACCGAAGAGCAGGACCGCCCCGGGCAGTGCGGCCCCTCGGGCAGCACCTTGACTCTCACTTATGGCTGGAGCTGGAGCGGCGGAGCTTCGCCCATGCATGGGGATGGTGATGGGGTGATGGGGTGGTGGTGAGCCCACCCTGGCCTGGGTCCCGACGCAGCCTCCACGCTGTGCAACAGAGGGACATCATGCCCCAACCTGCTGTGTCCTCTCCTCCTTCACAGCTGTGAAGCTGTAATCAACCCCTCCACCCAAACACACCTAATGGAAGTAATTTCCCGATACGTCGCTGGGTGTGTGTAAACTGCTTTTTCCCTGGGTGGGCTGTTTTTGCAGTTATTGGAAAGAAAGTGCTTTTAGTGATCTTTTAATTCACAATGTCATTTTTTTCCAGGTTTACAGACAAAGCTGTCAGATAAAAGTATCAAACGCAGTTCTCACAAGGCAAAATGTTCTGATTTCAAGCAGGCCACGTTTTAAAAACTGATCATTTAAATTAAATGTGTAAAGCCTCAGAAACTTATGCCAAAAATCTTAAGCATGTTTGGTGTCTCAAACCAGATCAACAGACATTTTAGGGAATGTATCTGATTTCTTTCTTTCCATAGAATCGTTATTTGTAAGCACATTTGGCAGCCCTGTGGCGTGTGAGTGCAATTAATACTTTATATTCATGTATAATGTATATGTATGCAATCCAGCTGGGAAGAGCCTGAGATTCTGCTGCAGTGTTGTACATCATCGCAGGCACAGAGGAAGATTTCAGGCTGTGCTCAGTAATTTTTTGTTATTAGGCAGGGCACAGGCCGTCCTTGTCTGAACTCTCTAAACAGACTCCAAAGGTCTGATCCTGGCGTAAGCCATGGCACGTTCACCCAGCCTGCAGTGTGAGCCACCTCTCTGGCCCCTGCATGCCTTTGGGCACAGCACTCCACGCCGGTGAATGTGGCTCAGCTCCATATAGAGGGAGGCTTTAATTCCACATTAGCATTTGGAAAAAATATCCAGAAAATATTCCTAGAGCGCCTGCAAATTCAACGTGCCCAATCCAATGGTGATGAGCACAGCTCTCTGAACTCAGTGAGAACAGTGCAGGCAAATAGGAAAGAAGAGAATTAGAGCTAGCCGGACATTTGTCATTTAAGCACTTAATGATTTTGCATAATGTTCATTATGCATAAGCAAAACTTTCATGGAAATGGGATAATTAAACAAATTGCTCACATGGGAGACTTTTGGAAAAAGAACTAAAGAAATTGATATTCCTTCTATATTTTGAAAATTAAAAGGATATTCAGGTTTTAATATTTTTCTTTTAAAATCATGAATCCAAATTTTCAAAAGGTGATGTCCAAGCAAAATGCTGCAAAATCATTAAAATGTTTAGGTGAACTAATCCAAATTGTGATATGAATATTAGGTTTTAATTTCTTTTAAGGTATTCTGAAATGGTGCTAAGAGTATGGGTTATTTCCCAATCATTTTAATGAAAAAATTCCTGCTGAAAAGAGAGATTTCATTCTGGGTGGCCCCCAGAAGATGAGTTATATTCCTGAGTTGGTTAAGTGATTCAGTTCGTATGTTCACTGTCAAATATTCATTGCTGTTCTATTTCCGAGAGAGCGTTGTTGTATTTTCTATGTTGAGGGGTGTCGGCTCTGTGCAACTGTTCTCTGGCCGCGTTTGGGGTCATAAGATGGTCTGTTGTTGTCAAGCCGCTGCCTGCCTGTGTGATTGTGTTCTGTTCTCCTTGTAGATGGAGGAGATTAAGTTTAAAGACAGAGCAGTCTACGTGCTGGAGAGAGAGTTAGGGGTTCAAGCCGGGCATGCTCAGAGACTGCAGCTCCAAAAGGAGGCTTTAGATGAACAACTTTCCCAGATCAAAGAGTCTGATCGGCATCTGAGCAGCCCCAAGCGGGAACTTCCTTATGCAAGTGGTGCAGGAGACGCTTCAGATCATTCGGGAAGCCCCGTAAGCACTTTCACGTGGTTTCACCTAAACGAACGAGCAGACAGAGTGACAAAATGGCACAAAGTGACAGAATCTTGATGAGTGCACCCTCGAGCAACAGCTTTCCCATAGCCGTGCAAGGGGAAACCCCGAGGCACTGATCTCTTGCTCTCATTTGTAGACAAACCTTTAAGATTTAAAATCAAACCCTGTTATGGGAGAGCTTTTGCATTTTTGTCGTTTTGTTTTCTGGTTTGTTTGGTTTGGTTTTGTTAGCAGGGTGAAATTTTTCTGTTCTTTTTCTCTTCCTTTTCCTCACTGTATCATACTTCTGCCACCTGCCTTAGTTTGACAGTTTGACACAATTTTGCCAACAAATGATGCAAATGCATTTCTAACCAAGTAATGTATGTATGCTAGCTTTCGGAACTGCTAACAATGGATTTTGTGAGCAGATGTACAAGGCCAGTTAACAAAGGGAAATGGGGGAAGGTAATCGGTGCATGAAAGCGCGGGAAATCCCGCAGTCCTCCCAGAACACCGCTGCTATGTCAGATTTTTGTGCTGCTAAGTGCTCTCGCTTTCAGTGGACCAGAAAGTGAATTAAATACCTGCTAACCTATTCTCTCCTTTTTCTTTTCTACAATGTAATATCCAGAACATTAAATTTTAGCCACTCTTTCACAATGGCTTTTTTTAATATAACTATGGCACCTTTCTGCTTTTGCCTTAATTTGCTAATATTAAAAACCCCTTGGTTAATTGACCTCATATATCTGGCGTATGCAGATTTTCTTCATTGCTGATTCTCATCAAGATTTCTTTTGCAACAGCCTTAATTTTCTCAGTAGAAGTGTAAATACTTATACATGAGCAAACCAATCTATTTTATTCTTTGTCCCAAGCCTCTCCTGCACCTGTTGAATGAGGAACCCTAGACCTCCCAAAAGTGCCACCAGCACTATGGACACTAATTTGCTTGTTTCGATTTGTACTCCTGCCAAACATCAGAACAAGTCCTAGAGAAGGGGAAAAAGTCTGTCACACTTGTAAATAGATGTAACTTCTCTCTGATTCTGAACAAGAACACATCTACCTATATTTCTATTCATTTATAATTTGATTTAAGCATTTTCACTCAGATAAAGTGCTACCCCTTTGGCTTTACAAGTGACCCTTTAGAACCCAATAAGGGCCACAGCTTTATGGAAGAAGAGCTTATGCAATGGTATAATTGCATGGATTTTCCCCATTTGTACTTCAGTATTTTTAATATCATTTTATTATAACAAAGTCCTCAGAGTGGGTGATGTGTCTGAAGCACTCAGTTCAACAGTGGCATACATTGGAAACGTTGCCTTAATTTTTGATATTTTCTTTTCTAGTTCCAAGTTTACCATTTGTGACTTTGTATTTGCATATACATACTTCTGCATTTGCATACTTTGTTACATTTTCACTCCTAACTTTCTGTTGGTCTCATCCTGCACGTTTCAGTGGTCAGTTAGGTTACATAGGTTATACACTCTGCCGTATAATGTTTTGAAATGTTTGGATTTGGGATAAGAAAAAGTTTGAGCTTTGAAAAATATTGATATTGCATGTACACTTATGAACAGTTATTTGCAGTTGATCTTTGTTTTAGGAACAGCAGTTGGATGAAAAGGATGCCCGGCGTTTCCAACTTAAAATCGCTGAGCTGAGTGCCATCATCAGAAAGCTGGAGGACCGGAACGCACTGCTGTCGGAGGAGAGAAATGAGCTGGTGAGTGCAGCGACAAAGCATGGCGGTGACTCTTTGTGGATGTGCTTCCATGGCTGTGCCTTGCCCCCAAAATATCAAGATATTTTCTCCTGTGCTATGTGGAAATCATTGCAGGAGTAGCTGCCTCCTCCTTACACTCTGTATTTGGTGGTATGCCACATCACACTCATCTTCACTTAGGTAACAATGAATTTTTAAGATGGCATTAGCTGGAATGATTTTTATTTATTTTTTAAAAATAAATAAATTCCCCACATGGTACACTTGTTGCACAGGTTGAATACCTCATGAAGGAGGAACAATCTGTTTCCCATGGAAAATACCAAGAGGTTTTGATCAATTCTGCTTTGCATTAGGAGAAAATACAGACAGTATGACAGTTAAAGAAAATGATTAATATATTTGATGAAAAATAACAGCTCCAGAGGTGTTCATTCTCTCTTAATCTTTCAGTTAAAACGTCTTAGAGAAGCTGAAAGTCAGTATAAGCCCATTTTGGACAAAAATAAACGCCTTAGTAGGAAGAATGAAGAATTGTCACATGCCTTACGTCGAATGGAAAATAAATTAAAATTTGTAACACAAGAAAATATAGCAATGGTAAGTCTCTGTATGCTCCAGAGAGAACATGTACTTTAGTGCTCACGGGGCTGATGAAGTCAGGCATTGTCCCAAACTTGCAAGTTTAATAGGAAACTTTCCCCTTTCCAGTGCTCGCTGAGATGTTCTGCGGTGCACTACTGAGTGGTTTGTGGCTAGAACCTGTTTTGTTTTAACTTTAAAAACAAATAGTTTTGAAGAAAAGCGAGCGTGTGAGCTTTGCACATTTTGATCAGGAGATTGTTCAGTCACTGGCTACTTAGTAATGTGAGCACAAGTCACCCCACCTCACTTTGGACTTTTGTACCAGAATCACCTTGTAATCACTAGGAAAGCTGCACTTACGACTCTTCCCTTTTTTTATTCAATTTAATATTGTTAGTGGGCAATAGCTGGTAGCAAGTAGCCGTAGCATTGCATGAATGTAGCAGGGCCGAGGTCATCCCCGTGGGTCCTGCAGCTCTGGGACTGCTGCAGATCAAAATGAATGAGAGCAACCCAGAGAGAAGTGACATTGTTTTCAGCTCTCTGAATTCCTTCTCCTGCAGGAGAAAGCCACACGGTTCTTGGCAGAACTAAAGAGCAGGTGCAGCCGAGCTGCTGCTAGCCCCCGTCTTTGGTGCGAAGGCCCCCCATGCCCGCTGTCCTCTCTGGTGACCACGAGCTTCACACAGCAGTCTGAGGAACAGGAACACCCAGCGTGTTTGCACTCTAGATGTAACGCTCAGCAAAAGCGAAGCAGGATAGCTGCCAGAACAGCCATTAGATTAGATGCATCATTAGCTGTAAAAGGAAGGCTTGTGTACTGTCCTTTGGCAAAGCCTTCTGATCACTTCCTCTTCTGCTGTGTGGGTTTCTTGTAGAGGCAAAGAGCGGGAACAATAAGGAGACCGAGCTCTTTAAATGACCTTGACCACAGCCAGGAAGAAAGAGAAGTTGATTTCCTGAGACTCCAAGTTATTGAACAGCAAAATATCATTGATGAACTCTCCAAGGTAAGATGTAATACTGCTGCTGTTATGTGGGGTTGACTGAGGCCATAGCAGAACAGGAAGCCTAAGCAAGGGGTGGTTGGGTTCTGTGAACTAATGGGCATAGCTTGCATCAGTGGGACATGGTAGGCATTTCTATTATATTCAGTTCACTTACTAGTAATAAGTTATCTGTGGTATAGTATTTGGAAAAATCCTTCCAATCTACATTGCACTTGCATGACAGAACCATTGCAGCATGTCCAGTAGATATGCTGATGGCCAGATCCTGCTCCTGCAAGAGAAAATGTTAGAACTCCTTTAGCTGGACACAGCATCAGGGCTAAAGATTACTGTGTACAAGGGGGGTGTTCTGCAACGTTGTGTTTGGGTTTTTGCCTCTTTATTAACATGTTCTCAGTCTTTGGAAACAGAAAATACTGAAATCATAATACTCCTCAAGGAAATACCTTCTTTTTTTTTTGTTGATGGGGTTTTTTTTAAGTCTGTACACTCACATTATTTCATTCTTTTTCATTAGACCCTGGAAACTGCTGGCTATGTGAAGAGTGTCATGGTAAGAACGACAACTTCGTCCTTATCTTTGTATGCTTTAAATTGCTGTTCATGACAAGAATGCATGTTATAATAAAATTTATTATCGCTTACATCTCCATTAAGGCAGCAAGCTAACGCAGTATTTTGCTCAGCGTAGATGTTGTCAAAGGCCATATCAGCAGAAGTTGTTCACCAGAGAAAAATGTACCAATAGTGGAGAAGAAAGCTCTGGTGAGAGAGGAAAGCTTTTTTTTCCACCACTAGGATGACGTCAGAGGCAAAAGTCAGCATGGTCACCCTGTCCTGACAGCCAATAGCGAGCATCCCCCATCTTCAGGACAGCTCTGCCACGTTGGAATTGCATTTTTTTTTTTGAGTCGGATAGCCACTAGCTTTGTCTCACCCATACTGGCATGTTCTCAGTCACTGCCCTTGCTCAACTCATCCCTTTGTTATTATCAGTAAACATTTTGTGAAGTTAAGCCACTAATAGGTATTGATAAAATGTGTACTGTTTTGTTCTTCATTGCCAAATGTGCAGCAAAGCTTGTGTTGCCAAGCAAAACAAGTATTTGATTTTCTTCTGTCACTGCTGCTTATGTTAGGATTTGCCATTGGGCTGATGGTAGTGGCACATTATCCGTGTCCCACAATGTCTTTGCATCCTTTTACCAAATGGTTAAAATGAAAGCTTATAGGGGTTTTCCCTTTAGAACTTTACCCTCTGCAATCCTGGACTTTGCCTGTATTTGCAATCCAGAATAAAGAAATTTTTTTCAGTACTATAAAAAATTGACACAATTCTATGAAGAGTGTCATAATTTCCACTGAACAGAAAAATTTACTGGCAGCAGTAAATGCTCAAACCTTTTTTTCAGAGGCACTGGGAACCTGAAGATCCTTAGAGAAGTCAGCTGAGACTGAAAGTGCTGAGTTCAAATAGTCCCTGAATTTTGTGTAGTTGGGCTGTTACATGTGTGCACGGCAGTAACAGCCGTGGCTCCAACAAGCCAAGGGCAGGAGTTGGCCTTTGCTCCTCAGCCCTGGACAGAGAGCCCATCTGCCAGAGAAGAGCCATAGCACGGCCTTGAACACATCTGCTTGCTGACGGAGCAGCTCTGAAATGAGGCCTGAACTGCCAGTGTGTTGCATTGGTTATAATCAACTTTCTTTTGCTGCTTTGATATTCATGAATACACAGAGCAATTGCTACTTGTATATGGCAAACTTGGAAGATGTTGGAGTAAAAATAACATTTGTCTGATGAAAGCATGGTTATTTCAGTTTGAGGCAGTGGCCAGCATTGACATTACTATTTCTTGATCACCCAATGACTCCTAGTACTGACATAGTTAATTTAAAGAACAGCTTTCTGAAAACAGCTAACGTGTATCTGATTCTTTCAGGAACGTGATAAGCTGTTAAGGTATAGGAAGCAAAGGAAAAAAATGACAAGAATTCCTAAGGTAAAAAAAAACCCTGTATCATGACATGCTGATGGGCATGCTGGCTTCCTGGGGTGCTCCAAAGGCCTTGGAGCCACGCGCAGGAACATTCTCCTCGAGGGTCTGCAAACAGGTCCTAATCTTAAATTTGGGTCACGTAGTTCAAGGACATTCATAGACTGTATTGGGATATTCAGACCAGATCTGGTAGGGATAGGGGAACCATTTGCATTGCACATTATGAGCATTTGCACGCTCTGCATTTCCCCGGAGCAATCCTGTGGGATTTCAGTGGTACGTGATTGTCTTAAGATGAGACAGATTTTATGAATTAACACATCTTAAAATGGTCTTTTAATGGCACTTCCTGAAAACATATGTAGGTTGTAAATAATTCATTATGGAGTTTAGTAACATGCAAAAATTGCTGGTTACAAGAAGCAACGGTTAGAGCTCAGGGAAAAAGAAAATGTTAGTTAATGAATACTTGGCAAGATGTTAATATAAATATTAACACTGTATTGACATTGTAAGGTACAATGTCAGGGACCTGAGAGCAAGCTGCATTCTACATATGAAGAATTAGGGTGGCACTGGAGCTAATGGATCTATAAATAACGAATTGAGGTCAATGTGAGATAACCCCTTAACTCCTGTTGTCCTGCAAATGGCAACCAGGCCTTTGAAAGAGAGTTATGTATTGTCTCCTTTGAAAGTTATCCACTGCAAATTAAAACAAAAAGCCAAAATCTAGAAATATTTTTTGTAAATCAACAATTAAAAATACTTTAGAACTGTATTTGAAATATAGTCTTTGGCTTTCAAGCATTTAACAGTAAATCTTTCTTTACCACCACTACCATCATTTTTTAAACAGAAAGCAGCTTTGAGTGGAAAAAATGGATTTCTTCGAACTGTAAAAACATTGCTGTGGTGATTAACTTCAAATTTTTCAAGTAGAACATTTCTTGCAAATCTAACTTTTCATGTGAAAGTTGTGGTAGTGGCAGGAGGGACGTTGTGGTGATGACAATGGATTAACAAAGACATTTCATTCCACAACTCCCACCTCATGCTGAGGTGAACACACAAAGAAGTAAAAAGGGTGATCTGCTTAGCTAGAGAAATCGGGAGGAAAATACATTTAAAAAAGGCAGAGGCTTGAGGTTGCACACTGTGATACCTAATAACAAATACAGCAATTCAGCGATTTGAATACTTTTAGCTATCATTAGAGCACTGTCATGGGGTGAAAAAAATTTATAGGTGGATACATGCAAAGAACTGGACCAGTTTTTCAAAAACCAATAGAGTGAGAATTACCAGTAATCTGGAATTGAGACTCCTCTGAAGGTGTGTATGTTCAAATGCTACAAAAGCACAGGGTTTAGCCATGTGTCCAAAGTCACTGCTGTCCCCCCCCCCAACGCCATCGGGCTGGTGCAGCTGATGGCACCGCTGCTGTGTGACACGGCCGTGCTCGCTGATGCCTTGTCTCTGTCAGAAGCCGGTTGTGGAGACGTTTTTTGGCTATGATGAAGAAGCTTCCTTGGAGTCTGATGGTTCCTCTATCTCATATCAAACTGACCGGACGGATCAAACCCCTTGCACTCCTGAAGATGACTTGGAAGAGGTATTCATCAAAAATATGTGTTGTTTTGTTTTGAAACCTCACTACTAATTTTTACTGAAATTCCTGGTCTGTTATATCATTCATCTGTCACCTCTGATCAGAAAACTAAAAATTGATGTTAAATTTAATACTGTGCCTGTTGGTTAATATCTCTGCATCTCAAGTCCAGTAATTTCACAACTTTTAGCCAAGCTGGAAATATTATATCCTAAGAATATTAGATGTATAATGGGTTTATTAGGTTGGAGGTCTAAAGAGACTGGACAACCCTAGGAGGACCTGTTCACACCGAGATTTGCTGCAGGTTTGTGCATGTGTAGTTTGGTTCAGGTCCTTCTTTGTCATTTTGACCTCAGCACAGAGCACAGCCTTAAGCGATAAGGTTTGTGTTTCTGGAAGGAACAGTAAGCAGTCAGTCTCCAGAGGAGAGGCTGTCTCCTTGCCAGTATATTGAGGTCATGACTTTTCTGGAGGCTCTGAATGCAGACTACACAAAGGTAGTTGGTAATACAAATAAAAGTGATTATTCCTGGTGTTTTGCAGGGCTTCCCTACAAATGCATTCCTGAGTGTATGTCAGATCGCTGTACCATTTCATGTTTCTGGGTTTAACAAGGATCTTGTAATAAACAAAAAATTGCTAATAATGACTTGCAGCTTTTTTATGGTATGTTGGCTGCAACTTTTCATCTGCCATTTCACTTGTTTCATGGGTTGTAATTAGATCTGTTAAAAGGGAACCTAAAGAATTCCTATCTCCATCATAAAAGATATCTAACTGGTTACCAGGTGTGTGCTGCACTGCAGGGAATCTGAATGTATTTTTATATGTATGAGCCTATTTATTTTTCATTCCTGTACTGACTTTTTTTTTCCCTGTTCAGATAGTACGAAGTTTGTGCATGCAACCAGCAGTATAATTTCATTTCATGTCAAATGAAACATTTCAGTCAACCTGACATGAAAGCATTCAATGCTGGATATTGTAAGGAGAATGAAGAAGATGAAGGGCTCTTTTCATGTTGATGTCACCATTTCTACAAGTATTAACTCTAGATTAGTGTTTTAATAATTGAGTGAGACTGTCAGGCTTGGCTTAGCCTCCAGATTGGAAAGCTTTTGTTGTTTCAAGAAAGTTGTATTTTCACCTTTAAATGTGGTAACCTTGTCTGTTACAGCAATAAAAGGCAATTCAGTCGTTAGTATGTTATATGGATGACAAGGTTTTATTTTTCCAAGGCGATGGGAATTCTCTCTTCTTTTCTGTATTTAATTTTCTTGAAGCAAGTGTATGCAAGAGATGTTTAAGGGACAAAAGAGAAATAGTCTGAGGGCACATAAACAGGCTCCTTAGTACTGTGCTTCCCAAATTGGATTTTGAAAGTAATAATTTTGGCACTTTTTAGAGGAAGCAAACGTAATCCACTCTTATAATATTTTTTACTTTGATTGCAGAAAAAAAGCAACTGGTGCAATGCATGTTTGGTTTTAATTCCAGGGCATGGCCAAGGAAGAGACAGAACTGCGGTTTCGGCAGCTGACGATGGAGTACCAGGCTCTGCAACGAGCATACGCCCTATTGCAAGAACAGGTCGGAGGAACATTGGATGCAGAACGAGAAGTTAAGGTCTAAATGGCTTATATTACATGAAAATAAAGGATTGTAATTGTATGGGGGTTTCCAATTGTACTTGCTCAGGTTGTTTTCAAGCTAAACTGGGGTCAGCCAGCCCCTCCAGCACACTCCTGGCTGGGGGTGCAGGGCAGAGGACTTGGCTGGACTGACTGCTGAGGTGGGCTCTGGGGTCTCTAACTCCAGCCAGCTTGTCCGGCATCCCCTGTGAAGTGCTGGAACCACCATTACTGTGGTTTAGTCTTTTCACCCCTGATCAGTTAGTGATAGTAAAAAATTACACACAATACAGTAAGACCATAAGATAGGGTACTAAATGCATAAAGAGCAAAGCAATTTGCCAGTTTGTAATGTTACATATGTAGGGTCTGTTCTGAGCTTTTTAACTTATCAAAAATTTAAAGGAAACAGGTGTGCCCAGAATTGTGGCAACAATAATTTTCATTTGTTCTCATGGAGAAATGAATCTTTGCATTACACTGGCTTTTTTAAATGCCTAGTTCTAGAATAGGGAAGGCTGTTCACTGCAGACTGTCGTAACCAGCTGTAAGAAGCCATTTATATTTTGCTGTCCTACTGTCTACCTAATGGGGTGCTGGTTATGTTAATCTTGACTTAAGTCTCAAAATTATTAACCCATCTTCCAGACTTCTTTTTATGATTAATGACTAATGCTGTGTGCGTAGCTGCAAATTTATTCTGCCAAAGAACTTTAAAAATTATTTGTTAAATGTATTTGATATTTTTAAGTATTTTCTGTACCTGTGTTAGCTTTTGTCTTTGAGAGAAAGTTTGATTTTTATTATTTTCTTCCCCCCTCCTCATATCCTACAGACACGTGAGCAGCTCCAAGCAGAAATACACCGATCTCAGGCTCAGATAGAAGACCTGGAGAAGGCCCTTGCTGAGCAGGGACAGGTAATGCATGCAGCTGAACACCAGCCCTTTCTCCAGCCTTCATACTGGAGGCGGGAGGGGGCTCTAGAGACGTGCCTGGTCAAGTTACCATATAATGCTGCAGACACTAGTGAGTGTTTATGTATGTATAGCATAATCCTGAAGTGACTTTTCAATAGCTGATTCATTGCATACAAAGCAGACATACTAGGGAAATACAAGAAATGTTACCAGGCTGCTTCTAGTGTATGTCTTACTTTTCCAGACCAAAAAAAAAAAAAAAAGGAAAAAAGAAAATAAAGAGAAAAAAAAAAAGAATTTTTTTTGAGAACTTTAAAATAATGCTAAATTATTTTATCATTACCTTTCAAGCTTAACCTCTTTTTATTGTTAAACTTATTGATAAATAATATTCTGGGTTTTGTGGGTTTTATATATTCATCAAATTAAGAAATTAGTTTCAAAATAAGGTTTATTTTGCCTATTGTTCAGAAATATGTAATTTGCATTCAGTGTAATAGAAATTTAATAGTAGATACATAGCTAGAAATATCTCTTTTAATGCAAACCGATTTTTTTATCTGAAAGAGTTTTTTAATCATTGGAGTGTTTCTATTCCATTTGTATACTACAGACTGTTAAAATAAGATGGAAATGTTTAGCTTAGGAAATGGTTTTAGGAAATAACGGTATTACAATTTCATATGCAATATTATTCTGTCCCTCTTCTCTATATGCGTGATTTAATGAAATACGTGCTACTGTGTTTGTGCTAAACATTGCCAGTTTCACCTACAATATTGGTCATTTCTTTTTCAAGGACATGAAGTGGATTGAGGAGAAGCAAGCATTGTACAGAAGAAATCAAGAACTGGTAGAAAAGGTATTCAATGTTTCTATTTGTATTATTCAAATAATATTTGTAGCTTAAGGAATGCAGAAGGAGCAATATTTTAATCTGTATCACACAGCTCTACTGGAAATAATTAACGAATAATAACAAGATCCTTATAAACCTGCCAGAAAAAGTGGTTTTGTGGCATTCCCTGTTACCCTATACAATGTCCTGGTGCCAGGTTGCATGAGGACAATGGCTCTGGGGAAAAGCCCCGTGTGCCCCCATCGCTGGTGCCACATGTCTCTCCCCATACTGATCCCATGGGGGTGGGCTCAGACCCTTGGCGCTCATGCTGACCCCGGCGTTTCCCCAGCATGGTCAACATGCGGTGGATCTCGAGTGACACTGCAAACAGTACTAACAATGTGTTGCTTTATTTTGCAGATAAAACAAATGGAAGCCGAGGAAGCTCGCTTAAAACATGATGTCCAGGATGTTAAGGATCAAAACGAGCTCCTGGAGTTCAGGATCTTGGAGCTTGAAGTGAGCACGTGTTGCAGCCATGGTCCTGCCCACCTGCCCTGGGCCGCGTGAGCTGAGGCCAGGGGCACCATGGCTTTGGGAACTCTCTCACATTTACTGTGAAGAGCCGCATTGCACTGAATGAGACCAAAGGGTTTGGTACAAAGTGCTAATAAAAGAGAAAAACCTCAAACACCCAGGGATCAATAGTAGTATTCTTGATAGGTTGTTCTGGCAGTCTTACTACTTAGGTAATTTTAAGATCCAGAAGAGCAGCTCGTGATGTAGATACACACTTAACTATACTCCATCTGTTCTGAAAATGAGAAGATATAAAACCAAAATGGACCATATATGGGAAAGAAAAAGAAAAAGGAACTTTCTTCCTTGCCAAAATTCATTGCTGTGTTTCACCTCTTGCTAAATGTACAGAGAAGGAACCATGTGGCCTAGACCACTGTGGTTACTCCACTGAGCCTTCTGTTTTCTATATCATTACCTGTATAAACAGAATCTATAAGCTCTTGGAAACTATTTTCAAAATTCTCCAAAGAGAGATTAACAAAGCAGCCACTTACAAGAAAAATTTACATTCTATCTGTATTATACTACGTATAAATGTATAATTTTGTTCAAATATATTATGTAGTCAAAGTAATAGGTAAGTGGTCATGATCAGTGCCCAGTGAAGAAGCATGGTGGGAAAATATTGGTGCTGTTAATATGTATGTCCACCCTGCTTTGCAGTGAGGTACAGGTCTTCCCTGTCAGCCCTAAGTGCCATTGCAAAAGCACGTGGTCTGGCCAGAGAAACAGCTTTTGCTCCTGGCTGTTAGTGTAAATAGCCACAGGGTGCAGGAGGTACGGTTTCTGTGCTCTGCACCCGAAATAAAGCCACTCTGCAAGAGCATTGCTTTGCAGTGTGTTCAGTTAGGGTGGGCCTTTTTCAAACCATATTTATCAAGTTCTTGGTGAAGCTGTCATTTGACATACTGTAGTGTGTAACCAAGCAATTATTGTCATTTCAGGAGAGAGAAAGACGATCGCCTGCCATCAACTTCCATCACGGCCCTTTTACAGAGGGGAAAAGCCCTCTCCAAGTCTACTGCGAGGCAGAAGGTGTAACAGTAAGGGATTCTCGTTTTGTATTTTCCTTTCCTGAAATAAAATCAGACGCTCTGTTCTGACTCCTGGTTTTCCATTTCTCTTTTGTTAGGACATAGTAGTAGCAGAGCTGATGAAAAAATTGGACATTTTAGGGGATAACGCCGTAAGTGTATGTTCCTTTAATAAATTGTGCATGCTTCGGTAAATATTTGTCTTCATGTTAAGCTAGCAAAGCCTTCTTGGTTTGCTACTGCACAGCCTGTCCTCCCTGTGGTCAAAGTACTGACCTACAAGCTAAGCATTTTCTGGCTTTTTAAGACTTTGTTAATAGCCTTCTGATGAGTGCCACGCAGGATCTTGGTGTCGCAATATTGCTTTTAATTTTTCAATGATTTGGAAAATATTTTGAAACTTTGGAGTTTGTTTTTTTCTGGCCACTGTTCACACATGGTTTCTTTATTTGCTTACTCTGCATTTGCTTTGCTTTTGCATTTTAGCAGCTGTGTGTTTTAATTTTGTCTAATAATCCATAAACCTTTGGTAGTAACCAGGATATTAAATGAAAAGTTACAACAGCAGTATGAAAAGAAGCAGCAAATAATAAGAAATTTGAAAGTGTTTCTCCTTTAGTAAATGGAAGTGAATAATTACACATGTGTATATAGAAGATATATATGCCCTTGTTTATTTTTTTCCTGTACAGTCATCTATCAGCAGAGCTACAGAGCCCCTGTGGTTGTGAGGGGCAGAGAAGAGCAGAGCCCCTCTCTAGCCCAGGGTCTTGCAGAGCCCTCAGCTGCTGCAGGGCTCCTCCCTGGGAGACTCCACCGCCAACATCGGGTCTGCAGAAAAGTCCCCACCGCTCTCACAGCTCCTCATCTGAGCTGCCTCAGCTCTCCCCCATGCCTCTGTACAGTTTGGATACCAGCAAAAATGCTGTCCCAGGGCCATGGGGGCAGCCTGGAAGTACCTCTTGACCACTTCTCATTAGGGTCATCATGTCTCCACTGTCACCAGTCTCTGGTAGCTACACACTCTGCCTCACAAAATCAAGCCAGGAGTTAGTGGAGGACCTGAAACACATTGAAGCAATTAATAATCTTCACTGCTGCTGCAGTTCATATTTCTGCCAGTGCAAATATTATTAAGAATCCTAAAATCTTTTGTGTGCAAAGAGTAAAAAAAAAGATACATATAGGTTTAATCACCGATTAGCTAAGACTGACCCTGCTAACGTGTAGAAAGATAACACCCATTAATCTATTAATCCCTGTAGTAATGTTGTCTTCAGTGGAATTATTAATGTCAGGTTAGCCGTGTGCAGAGTGTTTTGGAACAGCGTCCCAAACAGGGAACTTGGAGACAAACAGGAACAGAAAAAGTGATAGCTTTTCTCACATTTTCTATTCCCTTTCATTTCATCTTGGCTTCTGTATTTATATTAATGATCTCTAGTCTGTAATGTTATTTCCTCCTGATTTATTTTTTTCCCTATTACATGCAACAACTAACTTCTAGATGTGACACACGGGAAAGTTCCCAGTTCTCAACTCAGATAGCTTTAAGCTAACTGTATACTGTTGTTATCACTTTGGTTTTTTCTTGTTTTCATGTGTGTAATGTCACAGACTCAGCCACCAACGGCGGATTCTGCCCCATGGCAGCACATTGTCATGTCTGGCTGTTAGGGAGTCTGGGAAAGTGAACCCAAGTCCCACCTGTGTGCAAGTGGTTCCATCCTTTTCCGCACATCTTCTCTCTTGTGTTTCTGTAAAGTCCCCCTGGCAGCTTCTAGCTGCTTCCCACTGAACTGTCATGAGTTTAATATTGCTTTGAGTAAGGCAAACCCTTGAGAGAGTACCTCTAGGAGTAGAGCAGAAGCAAAGGTCAGAGGGGTGCAGTAGATCCCCTGCAGGCTACAGGGTCACTGGGGACAGGCACAGAGAAGGGGGCTGAGGAACACAGCTGCCCTCCTTTTCCCTGCAGGCAGGGGAGTCAGGTCAGGGGGTAACTCACGGAACAGGAAAAAACACCATTAATAATGCTGTGTGGTTGGTTTCATTTTTAATGTAACGTAACTTGTTTTTTAAAATATTACTTAAATTTATGGAAGAGACAATTTTCAGGGGTCCTCAGGAAAAGTCTCCTCCCCTCCCTGCCAGATAGCACTTTCACTGTCCCCAGCCTTGTGCATTAAATTGAAGTTCACCATAGTCACTCTTCTTACCAATTTCCTAATTCCCCTGTAGGAATGATAGCTAATGGCTTTCTGTATCTGACCAAATGTGGGTACCAAACTAGAAGGATTCACTTCTCCTACTGTAGATGTGGTCAGAGTAAGACCAAAGTTTGGGGTGAAATGCAAAACGTAGTTTCAGTACTTTATTTTTTAAAAAAAGAAACAAAACATGGATTGAATAGCTAACATCTTAACAAATGTTTTCCAAAATCATGACTTGGCTGCGCAAAATAAGGATTGCGTATTAACCTACTGTGCATATAGTGAACTTAAGGACTTAAGACTGCATCTCTTTTCTCCATGGCACGTTGTGCTAAGCCTGATCTTGTCTTGTGTAACTGTGTGTTTATTCCCTGTTGGGTAAAAATAGATCCAGTGTCACCTTTTTTTTGGTAAATGTGAGAATTTTAGAAGAATTATAACTATACGTATGATAAAAATTCAGCATGAATAGTTACAATTGTTTTTACAACAATGTTGCATTACAATACTAATTTTCTTTACCTTAGTTTATTGTTCCTCGAACATATTTAATTTCATATTTATTTAATACAGCAGTGGCCCAAATAGTGGATTAATAGCAAGACACTGGGATTTGTTGTAATTATATTCTGCTTTTGGCGCAGAATCTGACCAACGAAGAGCAAGTAGTTGTCATACAAGCAAGGACAGTTCTCACGTTGGCTGAAAAGGTAATAACAACTGCATCAGTCACTCGCCAGTAAACACGTGTCATGAAAGCATCTGACCCACAGAATAGCTCACTTGGAGCCACTGGTGATGTAACCGATAGCTTCATCACAAAATGCCATGTTTCTTTATGTGGAATTACACTAGTTTTCACCAAAATAAAGGTAACATTCAGGCAATACAGACAGACATTGCTTATTTTAAAATGTTAATTAGCAAAATGATGTTAGAAGGTAAGTGGCTAGGCTTTGAAATGATGCTTTTTTCCATCATCAATATACATAAAAGAAAAAAATGTAATAATATAGTTAATTTTTCCTCTTTTATTTAGTGAATTTAAATAAGTATTTGCAGTGTGTGCTGACACACGCTAAAGTCACAGTGAAAGCTGAATATGCAGGCATGCTGCCTCCTGCTCTTTAGTCTTAAGCACCTGCTTTCTGTTTTGTGCACAGTGGCTACAGCAGATAGAAGTGACGGAGTCTGCGCTGCAACAGAAGATGCTGGACCTTGAGAATGAAAAGGTACCAAAGAATGAGGGGAACAAACCGGTGGGAGAAGCAGCAGGAAGAGCAGTGGCGTTAGGGCCGCGGCCGTTGCACTCACTGCTTCTCCTTGTGTCCCCAGGAGCTGTTCAGCAAGCAAAAGGGCTACCTGGATGATGAGCTCGACTTCAGGAAACAGTCCTTGGACCAAGCTCACAAGGTGAGGAAAACCAGCCTTGACCGAATTATGACATCTTGATTAACTTACCTTATGTAATATGTATAGTCTGTTCTCAATAGAAAAAATCTCTGCTTTGGACAGTACTGCTTGTGGACTGGCTCGAGCACAAAATAGGCTGAATTTTAAACAAATCCTCTATACCCTGAGCTAACAGTGAGCTCCTTATGGATGGAGTTTCTTATGTTTGGGTGTTTCTTGCAGGATTAGGACCTAAATATTGATTTATTAAACACAAATTTTAATTCATCAGAGGTTTTGATAAATGACTGATAAGAAAATGGTGTTTTCAGTAATTTCTCTTTTCCTTCCAAAATAGAGATTTTGACCTAGACATTTCTTTAGATCTTAGATTACAGTCTCTGTAACCAAAGCAGCTGGAGATATTATATGATTCTGTAAATTTGAAATAAACCTGGTTTTAGATCAGATTCATCCTTAGCTGATCCCAAGCCATTTCAACCACCTCTTCAGTCATCAGCTGTCTTGCTTCCTTCAGTTAAAGTTCAATATATACTCATGAAAGATATAAGTACCTGGATTTTCCTATCGATTTACCCCATTCTTTCAGTTCCATTTAAATCTTGAGCACAGTTACACTTTCTGAGAAGCAGTGAGTATTTATGCCTCTCTTTCTGGATACTTATTATCTATTTGTATCTCAAACCAGTTGGGGGAGCTTTTACTCAGTATGTTTTCTGTTCCTGTAAGGGTTTTTAAGACTGATTTTGCCAAATGCTGAGCTATATCTGGAACCAATGTCTCTGCACAGTGGAAACCCTGCAAAGTACACAAGCCTCTCTTACCTGTGGTCTCAGCCCTAAGGCCAGATTATCTCCCATGGCCTTGAGCTGTTCTGAGAAGCAGTTTGGTGCAACTGAAGGCTGAGCCTGTAGGATTTATCTTCAAAGACAAGCCCTGAGAGAGGTGATCTCCTGTGTCTTGGGCAAGTTATGAAACAGATCCATAAATCTGAGTAGGCAGAAACTGGCAACAGCAGCAGAGCGGGGAAAAATCGTATGGCATCTCTTGAAACTCCTGGTAGCATCATGGCATCTGCAGGAGAGCTCACACGCGGAGCTGTGGCTATCAGCTATGGTATACCCAGCATCCCTGCGTCTCGCGGCCAGCCGCTCGCTCTCCATCCATAGACAGTCAGTTCCAGGGTCGCAGATGTACTGAAGGATCCAGCAACAACTCTCCGCTCCTTGGCTCTGCTGCTTGCGGAGAGGGAACAAGCATCACAAACTGTAGCAGCCCATGCAGAAGTAGCCAAGGTTTATTTGCATTTTCCTGTATTCTTTAAAGGCATCACACAAGTGTACCCAAGCAAAGTGATTGGCTTTACTCCTGGGCACAAATGCAACCTGAAAACAGCAAGAAAGCTTTGTTCTGCCCCAAAATTAGAGTGGAAAAAGCTCTTTTGATTTGTATAATTTGTTTCAGTTCCATGTTTCCTTTGTGGCCCTTGGAGATGAGGAGCTGCTAATCTTCCCCTGCTAACTGCAGCCAACAAGATTACGAGCTGTAACCACTAAGCTTTTTGCACGGTTTTCACTCCCTTTGGTTGCTGGCAGGGGATTTTACTCTGAGAAGCACTTGGCTCACACGGAGACTCCTGACACTGCTGCTGCTCTGGAGACTGTGAATTTCCCCACACTCTTCCTTCTTCACAAGTCAATATAATCAGAGAGGGATAACAGTTGTATAATTGAGGTTTGGAGCCCACCAGAAATCCATGTTTCAAATAACAGCATTTTGTTGACACAGTTACGGTTAGCAAGGATGTTGGCATTATTTTTAAAAGTGAAAGCAGAATCTTATTCTGAGATCCGATCTGATCTTCCCTGCAGAGACACTGTGGTTACTGTCTTTCAGTTATCATCAGTATCCATAACTCCTGCCAAGTTGTTGTTATTCCTGTGAATGCTTGTATTCTTCTGTCCTGACTCTACTAAACCATAGCAAGAAAACACCAACAGACCCTCAGGTGGAAAAACTTTTTAAATTGAGCTGAATTATCACAACAGACATCTATGGCATTTCCAAACAGCCCATCTAGAGGTTCAAGCCACAATATTGCAGTCATGTTCTCCTGAAGCCACAGAGAGCTCTGCAAGGTTCAGAACACACTATTGCAGTCACATTCTCCTGAAGCTATGGAGAGATCTGCAAGATGCTACCAGCTTTGGAGAGGGTGTGCAAAGGTGCCATCAATTGCTGCTTTGTATCCTGCTCTATATCAAACTTGCTGAAAAAGATTTCGGCTTGCTTTTGGCTTGCATGAAGGAATAGCATTTATCTTGTGACTTTGAAGCAGAAAACATTGTCTGTCAAGGTCACCTGCCCTAGGAGGGTGCCAGGCTCAGTGTCTTATGGGGAAACATTGCCAGTCCATTTCTTACACACTTCTATATCTCAGTAAATCCGAAGGGTACATCTGTCTGTGTTCAAGAGACATTTTCGGATGCAGTAAAGTAAAAGCTCTGCAGCCTGAGACTTGCAGGAACAGAGCCCAGCTACCAGATATATTTTTCTTGAGCATTAAGCCTCTTGGAGCTGGCAGCTCTGCCAGACGAAGTGCTGGAGATGCCTTCACACAAGGCATTTTAAGCTAGTTGGTACAAAATGCTGTAAGCTCACAAGAGGGAGTTGTTCCTTTCTGGCATGAGTATGAACTGATGCTGTATCCTCCACTGCTGCTTACAGGGAAAGGTGAACTGAGAGACTGAATATTGAATTTAAAAAAAAAATCTGTAACTCACAGAATGAGTCTTTTAGGAACCTTTTATCCTCCCTTCTCCCTTTTCCTTTTTTTGTTTTCTTTTTGCCTCTTCTCCCCACAGCCATCCCCCCATCTCCAGAAAGGAGAAGCTGACACCCATATACTTTTTGAGAATCAGGCTAGGCTGACCAAGGGGCCGTGCCAGTTCCAGTGCCGCTCATACCCCCACAGCATAAAAGCAGCCTAAAGTATTTTCCCCCTGGATTGAGTTTTCCGCACTGTCCTGTGCAGGAGGCTCAGCACACACCACCTCTACTGCTCCTGTTGCTTTACTGGGGTAGGATTTTCAGTTCCTCACAAAATCCTCATCCGACCAGAGACAAGGTCAAGCTGACAGCCTTATATTGTTTTTGATTAGCAAATTCTGGAATTAGAAGCCATGCTCTATGATGCCCTGCAGCAAGAAGCTGGAGCCAAAATTTCCGAACTTCTTTCAGAAGAGGAGAAAGAGAAACTGAAGAGCGCCGTAGAGCAATGGAAGCGGCAGGTCATGAGTGAGCTCCGGGAAAGGGACGCCCAAATCCTGCGAGAAAGGATGGAGCTCATTCAACACGCACAGCAGGTAGGTGCCGGTGCACAGGCATGGTGAGATTTGGGGTGGGATAGTCCCTCAGATGGAAACGTAATGAACTTATGAGCACCAGCCTCTCCTCCTAGAGTTGTACCAGAAATGGTTGGTCCTGGGGCCAGACTCTGATTTGCCTTGGATAATCCCTGCAAACAGGGCATTTTGATTTTCATGAATTTGTCATGCATAGTGACATTCACAGAGGACTCCTCTACAGCTTAAACCCAATTTGGTTTTTTTAGAAACACAGCACATACAATTCATATCTCCAAAAATAATGCATCTTCTGGGTACATCTGTATTTGGTTGGTTAATAAATATTTTTTTATTTGAAATCTGACAGAGAATTAAAGAGCTAGAAGAAAGAATTGAAGGCCAAAAAAGACAAATAAAAGAGTTAGAGGAAAAGGTAAGGTAATGCAGATGAAACAGTTATTGTATGTGCACATGACCATATATTCATTTCACCTTGGCTAAGAAAATAATCTTATAAAAAGTTTGTGTCTGTTAGTGCAGTGAGCTAATGGGAGAGTGCTCCAGGAAACCATTTTGCATTTGCATTAGTCCCTCTGAGAAGGAAAGGTTACCAGCTTAAGTTGAGTCTTTCCTTCTGTTATCCTTCAGTGAAGTCCAAAACACAGGACTCAGCAGGGATGTTGGGGGTCCATCTGTCATGGGAAGGGAGTGATGGAGAGCCACCGGACAGCAGAGGGATGAGGCCAACACATGCTCTGGGGAAGGAGCCAGGGATTTTTTCTCTGTCCCTCCCATCTCTAGCATTTGCACATGCAGCTGCACTGACCTGCCTTCCCCAGAGGGAATGAGGAGGCTCTTCTCACCTGCAGCCACAGCAGTCACTGTCACCATGGTTAATGCCATCGAGCTTTCTCCAGTCAAGCCATAACTGTTGAATTTTACCCTAAAATTGCCCTCATCTGAAACCATCTATTTCTAGTGAAATTACCGTAGGAGAACTTGTTCAGGTACAGCAGTGGCTGAGCTGGACTTTCACCTGAAACTAAACCCAGACCTTAGCAGTGCTGGTTTGGGGCTTTTTTTTGAGGTATCAGAAGAATTCAGCTAATTTTTTTCCTCCCCATTTTTCCTGAGCCCTTGGCTGCAACTGGGATGGGCTCCGCTGGGGCAGGAGATGACTCTCATCGGTCTGAGGGACACAGGGGCTCTGGCTGAGCTGAGCCGAGCGCTGGGCCCTTGGAGCTTACTTCACACTTCGTATTTCTTTTCAACTGAGAGTTTTGTTGCACTCTGTCTGTAACCACAGCTTATTTCTCAGCTAAACACACTGTAAACTCTTATTCTCTTTCTTCTCTTCCATTTTTTCCTCTCTTCCCTCCCCTTTTCAGTTTTTATTTTTGTTTTTATTTTTCTCTTTAGCTTTCATTCTTTGGTCATAGTCCTTCAGGCCATATGCAAAAGGTAAGCCCTCAGATCACCTCTGGTCTCCCCTCTTCTTCCTGTAAAGCATCAGAGCCTTCCCCTTGCTACTCAGCCTGCTTTGTCGGTATTAGGAGGTCTCCTGGGTGCCCCAGATAACCCCAAAATTGAAATCTCTAAAGCCTTTAAAAAAATGTGAAACCTAGGCACCAGCAGGCTAAAAACTTGTCAAACAGAATTTCCTTCTTCAGAGGGAAGGACAAGGAAAGAGAAAAACACAGCAGGTTTAAAAGCAGGGAAACTTCTAGCAAACCAGGGTAAACACACAGTCTGTGCTTACTCCTCTGACTACATCAGGGGATTGCTCCAGCTGATCCTTGCTGGAAATCCATGGAAACCGACTGCCCCTTCTCCCTGCATAGCTGAGGTCTCTGACACGCTCGCAGCCAGGCTGAACCTCTTGCATCAGGTTGTCCTGCCTTCAGGCTAAGCAACTAGAATGGTTTGGGGGGGAACATGTCACTTATAAGTGTGTGTTTCTCCAAGCATCATGCCATAGGGCCCTAGATATTGCCTAAATCTCCCTTTCTCCCCATGTAGATAGGAGATAAATTGCCAATCTGTGCTTCCAGAGATGGCAGAAATTACCACATCATGGAGAACGTTCCCTATTAGTCATCAACAGCAATGGAATATAACACAAATCCTTTTTTATCAGTTGTACAATTCAAACAGATAATTATAAATATAACCCTTACAGAAATTTCATGCATGTTATTGTTGCCCAGATACACTTCTCTTTGATCCATGTTTCTATATCTTTTCTTGTTTCAGCCTACTGAGGAAGCTACAGTTGCTTCTACTGTTATCAACAGGAAGACAGCATTGATTACCAAGACAGAAAAAGAGACATTGCCATTTCAAAACCCCCAAATATCTCTCATATTTTGCTACTGGCGATGGAAGATGCAATCTTTCTGACCCTTTCAGACTGAAGCTGAACTAGGGTATGTGGAAATTTCTGCACAGGTGATGTCTGCACCACTGAAATCTCTGACTGAGCATTTTGAAAAGCTAGAACTAAGCCGACAAAGAAGAAAGCCAAAAAACCCCTCCCTCTCCTACAGCCACAGGCTCCTTCCAGGAGTCCTGGCTCTGCTGCTTGAACTAACTTTCAGTGGAAGTCCTGGCTCTGCTGCTTGAAATAGCTCTCAGCTTTACATAAGGAGCGGTATACTAATTCAGATAAACTGAATATATTTTGGTTCCCTGCTAAGCAGGTAGTAAATTGCTTCTCTGTAGAAGTGACTGTGTCCTGTTTTATATGTCACGCATTTATATTTGTTATTCATAGTTGTTTAAAAATCAGTCTTGAAAGAAGATTTTAGGAAGAGTTCCAGAGGAGTAACTCATGAAAAGATAGATGTAAATGAAAATGAAGTGTTTTGTTCCAAGGTATTTCTTCATAACACAGGGTATGTCCGATGGTTTGTTGAATATCCTGCAAGCCCAGTTTTAGGGAAAAACATGAAGCTATGTTCAGGAAATCAAGTTGTAATTTTTGGGGGAGTTTTCAGTAGACCATGGCCCACAGCACAATGAGAAAAATGGCACAATAATTTATAATTTGCTGTCCCTGAATGATGACAAAAGGCTTAACATTGTCCCAGCAAAAAGTTCGACCTGGAAAAGAGTGAACATAAAACACATTATCCCTGATCTGTACACTCTGGGCTGGGGGAGGCAGCAAGAGGGAACAGATTTTGTCACCTTAATTCAGGGGAGCACAAGTACCGCAGAGCTCAAGCCCAGGAGGCTGGCACAGGAGCAGGGAAGGAAAATGGATCCTCTAGAAAAACAGGTGAAAAAGGGAAAATCCAGAAGAAAGAAATCCCACAGTGTGATTCACCATATGGGAACTGCAGCCAAGCACACAAACCTGGGGCTGTCGGGGAAGGCCAAGAACAAGTTCCTGTCCGCAGCTTTCCACGGCTGCAGTGCAGTGAAGGTCCCCAAGGCGCAGGATGCAGTGGAGGATCTGCCCATCCCTTGGAAGCACGAGGCAGAAAGCAAAATGAGAGCTCCTGACAGGTAAGATGGACTGATCAACTGGAATCATTTATTATATGATTATATATACTATGTAACTTCCTGTACATGGCTGTTAGTCTCTCTTGCTTAGGTTAAAATGCTTCTGATGATAACACAGAAAATTTTGAAGTTACCAAAGTCTTTATGTAAACATTATTTGTTTATCTCTGGTTTACTTTAGTAATTTAGGTATTGAATTTCAGTATGATATAATCACAAATGCTAACTTTATGTTTTTAGATCAGTGGTCACTCTTAACAAAAGATTACTAGGGACATAATGAACTACACTATCAAATTTGTATGCACAACAAGCAATCATGCTACTTTAAAACTATATGTATTTTAAATGCCGTAGCTGAAAATATTTTTCATTTTGGATTGAAAAGACAAGTAGTATTCAGAAAAGTATTTTAATTCACAATTTCACTTACTTTTTTTCTAAGTTATGCTGGTAATATGTCACTTGGCTGGTAAATGTGATGGGGACATTAGCAGTGGTCACCCTAGCACTGTCCGAAGCTGCCTTTTTTTAAGAATATTGAAGAATACAGGAATGTTAGACAGAGGACCAGAACCTGGCTAGACAGCTGGCGAGAAATCGCTGCTATCACAGCCTTGGGGAGTCTGTCATGCCCAGAAAGACCACTGCTTGATGGATGCTGTTATCTCTCCCAAAATGAGGGAAAATACTCAAATCTCCAAAAAATACCCTGGAATAGAATTCAGTCACTCCTGTGGATAACGCTCAGAATAACTCAGTCAACAGGCAAGCCAATAGGCAAATTGGAGCACTTAGAATATTGCTTGGAGGCCATTTCTTTTTTCAGTTTTGTTGGGGCTGTCCCAGTACTTGTTAACTTGTCTATAACTTGTTACACCTCTTAGAGCTAATACTTCTCACAGGACTTGTTTCTGCTTTAAAGTAGGAATTGTCTCTCTGTGCTTCATCTCATCAGTTTTCTTTTTTTTTCCAAATACTTTTTCTAAGCAGAATGTCTATCAAATCTGAGTTTGAACATCTCTCTGATCTTAAGGTGTTTGACTGCAGGTTATTGATTTGCTGCTCTAGATAAGATTACTGCTTTTAAAAGCAATCAGACACAGGTTGTCTACATACAGAGGGATGCACACAGGAAGTCTTAGAAATTGTCTTACATGATGCTCACTGAGGTGATCTGTGCTCACAGTTAGAGGCGATGATGCACGCTCTTCTTCAAAACTTGTAGTTGTACATCTCAGCCCTGCTAGTTTTTAGAGAGTGGTCCAAATCCTTTGTGCCTGTCAGTGTCATGCCAGTCCCCAAGGGACTGATGTTTCCTGGGCAGTAAGATCAGTGAGATCTACGTGTTTAGCAACCCAAAAAAGAACTTTAATGCTGTCAAAGGAGGGAAATAAAAATGCATTGGATTGTAATTAGGGCTTTCTGAAACATCTGTTAAAACAACTTCTCAACAGAAAGTTAGATTTCAAGTAAATGTTGCTTTTCATCAAGAATGTGTGTTTTTAACAAGGAACATTGTGAAAAACTAGAAAATCATTTGGCCTTCTGGACCACAACACCATTGCCATTTTCCTCAGGCACCCCAGCTTGTTCCTGAGCAGCTCAGACACCAACACTTCCCTACATGGAGTTTTGCCATTAGCCGGATCCCCGCATGTGCCAGCTTTGTGGTTTTGCAGATGATGGGTGGGAGAGCTCTGGGTACCGCAGGCAGTGCGATCTCGGTACGGAGCACAAATATAACCTGCAGCTTGGTCAGGCCAGCCAGCAGCTCTGCTTAGGGCATGGCTCACCTGCATGGCCATGCTTCGCATGAGACATGGCACGAGGCTTTCCAGGAGCATTGGCAAGAGGGTGGTTAACCTCTGGGTCTCAGACTGCTCTACCGTGCTATGTGGAGGCATTTCAGACACTTGCTAAAGCAAAAATTAAGTGCTGACACGTGGGATTGGCAAACCTGTAGACTCTGAGTTCATAGAATCATAGAACGGTTTGGGTTGGAAGGGACCTTAAAGATCATCTCGTTCCAACCCCCCTGCCATGGGCAGGGACACCTTCCACTAGACCAGGTTGCTCCAAGCCCCATCCAACGTGGCCTTGAACACTTCCAGGGATGGGGTGGCCACAACCTCTGTGGGCAACCTGCTCCAGTGCCTCACCACCCTCACAGTGAAGAACTTCCTCACATCTAATCTAAATCTGCCCTCTTTCAGTTTAAAGCCATTACCCCTTGTCCTATCACTACATGTCCTTGTAAAAAGTCCCTCCCCAGCTTTCCTGTAGGTCCCCTTTAAGTACTGGCAGGCTGCTATAAGGTCTCCCCGGAGCCTTTTCTTCTCCAGCCTGAACAACCCCAACTCTCTCAGCCTGACTTCGTGGGAGAGGTGCTCCAGCCCTCTGATCATCTTGGTGGCCCTCCTCTGGACTCGCTCCAACAGGTCCAGGTCCTTCTTATGTTGGGGGCCCAGAGCTGAATGCAGTACTGCAGGTGGGGTCTCACCAGAGCGGAGCAGAGCGGGAGAATCACCTCCCTCCACCTGCTGGTCACACTTCTTTGGATGCAGCCCAGGATACAGTTGATATATCTTAATGTGTGCTTATTATTAGAGGCATTCAGGATAATACCATTATTACACCCTTAACACACCTACACGTCTGTGTTTCAGCAGTGCTCGCGTGCAGCAGGAGTCGCACTGCGGCACAATCTCCCACCTACGGGGAAGGGCTGAAGCCATGGGTGGGAGCTGGAGCGGAGGAGGCTGTGGGGGCTACACCCCAGCCTTTCCCAGCAGGGTGCTCGATGCACCCGGGATGTGCTGGAACATGCTTCGGAGAAATAGGAAAGAAAGGGAGACATATGGAATAGGGATCACGGGCTATGAGCGACACAGGGCGTTTGGCGCAGCGTGGGACAGTAGTGTCAGAG